CCTCTGCCCCTTGCTCCTCTCAGGGTGGCGAGGCTGCAGCAGGAGGCGCGGGATCTGGAGCAGCGGGACGCGGAGGAGCAGGCGCGCCGGGAGTTGGAAGAGCAGGCCCGGGTGCGGCTGAGGGAGCAGGAGGTGCAGCAGCTGCAGGTGGGCCGTGCCAGAGCACAAGGGGATTGAGAGGAGGAGAGGGCTTGGGGAAGAAGGGGCACGAGAGAAACCTGTTCAGGCACCTAGCAGGTGGTAGGCGGATGTTTTCGAGAGAGACCCGCAGTAAACCGGAAGGTGTCTTTGACCTTGTTGGTTATTGAAAGGTTGACTGTGTTAGTCAGGGTTAGCAGGGTCAGATGTAATTCAGAGACAGTAGATGAGGCTTAAGTCGAGGGGAACGAACCAGTTGGAAAGTGTTTTAGGGTGGACCAGGGGCGGGCCATCCATGGTGGTGAATGCCTGTAATCCCAGCACTCAGGAGGCTGAGGCAGGAGTTTGAGGCCATCCAGAACTACATGGCCAGTTCACAGCCAGCCAGAACCACAGTGAGACTTTGTCTCAAAAAAAAAAAAAAAATTATGGACTGAGTCTGCAAGGTTGTCACAGCTGGTGCTTAGGATTCTGTCAGAAGTGTCCAGCTGGGGATTTAGCTAAGTGGTGCTCCCCCATGCCTCGCAAGCACACGGTCCTGAGTTCCATCCCCGGTACCAAAATAAAAAGCCATTATTGATGAAGTGTCCAGAGGATGATTGTCTCAGACTCTAGTAAGGCCTCTTGATGTTGCTCCCCTGGAGCGGGGCAGCATTCAGAGGCCTTGGCCTGCAGACAGCTTTCTCCGGGGTGCAGCTGGAGCCTGAGGGAGGGGCTAGACTGCAGCAGGCTCTGCAGGCTGCTTGTTTTTATATGGGGCTCCCATGCAGCTGGCCTTTTCTTTGCCATAGGAGGAGGCGAAAAACTTTATCACCCGAGAGAACCTGGAAGCGAGGGTGGAAGAAGCATTGAACTCCCCAAAGAACTACAACTGGGCCATCACCAGACAGGGACTGGTGGTCAGGCCGCAGCAGAAGGACTCCTAGGGCCCAGAAGGGACCGTACCTGCCAAAGGACCCTGTGTGCATGGGGTTGGAGGGCCAGGTCTGATCTGGGATAAAGCAGTTGGTGTTTCCTACACAGAAGGCTCAGCCTTTTACGGAGCAGCTCTCATGTTCTGGCCTCTACACTCAGCACTTGGTCAGAAACTCCAAACTTGGTGCTGTCTTCCGCCCCATTTCAACCTCAGGACAGCACCAGGCCATCTCACAGGGGAACAGACTGGGCCACAATCCCCTTGAGCAGCCAGGCCATCTTCTGAGTATCATAAAGGGCAGTGGTTAGCAAATTACAGTCAGTGAGCTAAATGTAACTAGCTGCTTGTTTTTGTAAATAAAGTTTTATTGAAACAGTGTTGCACATCTGTTGACTCCTTTTCTACTACCACAGTGACAGATGAATAGTTACAACAGAGATGGGATGACATGCAAACTAAAATATTTATTGGGCTGGGGATTTAGCTCTGGTTCTGCCACCTGCCTTGCAAGCACAAGGACAAAAAAAAAATTGTAAAATATTTGTTATATGACTTTTTGTTTTGTTTTGTTTGAGACAGGGTCTCACTATGTAGTTGAGACTGACCTGGAACTCAACAATGTAGCCCAGGCCGATCTTGAACTCACAGCGATCCTCCTGCCTCAGCCTCCCAATTGCTGGGATTGCAGGCGTGCACCAACACACCTGGCCTATTATATGACTTTTTTAAGAAAAGGCTGTCTGGTTCCTAATTTGGGGCTTTGGGCGGGGGCTGTATCACCTGGACCTGAGCCATAAGCTGACTGTTGGCTGAGGCCTGCTTTTGTTTAGCCCTGAACTGCTAATGGGGATGGTGACAAGACCCAGAAGGCAAAGGAAGGCCCCATTTCTTCATGTAACTGCCTGTGGCTTTCATGACCTGCATCTGCTTCACACCCCAGCACCTGGTCCAAGCTCCAGATTGTTGCTGTTGGGGAAGGCCTGGTTGGTCACACTTTACAAGGACAGAATCCCAGTTTTTCCCATTACTCTTACCTCCTAGAGAGGGCCTAGGTATCTCCAAGAGGGGCTTTTTATGGGATATGTGCAGTCATGTTCCAGATAAGGAAATGGGTATCAAGTTGCAAGTAAAGGTGCCCTGCACCCAGGTCAGTCTGAGCTGCATCCCTGAGAGCCACACCCCTCCAGGCAGGTTTTAGCTCTTCCCTCCTGCCACTGACTGGCTGGCACAGTGGGAATCCCTGGATGCCCAGAGTAGCTTTGCGGGTGGCAGCTGGAGGGCATATATGGGCCATAGTTTGCCTAGTCCACAGCTTTAGGCTTTCCTGTGAGAAGTGGATCCCCTGCAGCAGTTCAGCCTATGCTGAACTTTCACATGAGATGTGGCCTGTATTAAATCACTTGATCCTAATGTGGCATAAATCATCTTGCTGCTGGGTGACTCATTTAAACATGGTTACATTCCCACCAGCTTGAACCACTGGTAGTACATACATGATTGACTCATCAGGAGGCCTTTTTTTGGGGGGGTACCAGGGATTGAACTCGGGTCCTTGCACTTGCAAGGCAGGCCACCAAACAGCTGAGCTAAATCCCTGGCCCCAGGAGGCTTTTTATTAATATTATTAGTGAAAAGACAGTGATTTGATCGGCACTTGGCACAATGGAACAGTCAGCTGTTAATGAACTTTGTTTTGAGACAGGGTCTCACTGTGTAGTTCAGACTGACCTCAAACTCGTGGCAATCCTGCCTCAGTCTCTTTAGTGCTAGGGTTACAGATGTGTGGCACCATGCCCGTGAACAATGAACTTCTGAACCTCCTCATCACTATTTTCCATTGCATCTGTCTCAGTCAGCTGCACCAGGATCCAGACAGATGCCAAGAGTCTCTTCACATAAAAGGACCCAGTGTAGTTCCGTCTTGGGGCTGGTTTCCCTTCTGGGCGGCCCTGTGTCCTGCATGGGACATTACCTTAGTATACGCCTTGTAACACCTTGGTGTACACCTGATGTCAGTACACACAGATCACCTGTAAACCTGGCTTCAGCACTTTTGCTTTCCACCCACTGTCATCCTCTTGGTGTAGGCACAAATAGCTCATCTTCAGAGTTAACTCCAGCCCAGACCGGTGTGCCTGGTTCCTCATGGACCAGACAGCACTGCAAGGTGCCAGGTAGGCCATCAGTTTCTGTCCAGTCCAGGCTGCATGCTGTGGGATTCCCATGGTACAGTATCTAGTCTTTAGCTGAGACCTGGATAGTTAACCTGATAGTTCCTCAGGGACACGGGCTCTCATTTTTGCTGTTTCAAATATTTGAAAATCTATGTGTCCTGTAGGCTTGTAGGGACTGCAGTTGCC